TATTGAACAAGAGACAAATAATTTTTGATATTGCACTGCTAGTTTTGTTAAAACAATCTGAAGGAAAACCACACAAAAAATTCGTTATTAGCGTGTTAATGGGGGGCATACGATCAGCTATCTGTTCGGGAATTTGACAGCAATATATTGCCTATACTAAAGTAACGTTTGTTCTTCGTTGGCGTTTATTTTAAACCGTTCGCCGGCATTCGACAAAACCGTCTGTAGGTCCAATAAAAATTTTGTCGTAAATTGTGCACGGCTCAGTTATTTCGATACACTTGCCACAGACGCCGTTTTCGGAATGCTGTGCTCGCCGCACTGCACCTTGCTGACAGCCACCACAATTTAGTTGTTATAGTGTTAAACTTTCCGAGGGCTCTCATTACCGGATTGTAGAAGGCCGCTTTGCTCCCACCTCCCGGCAGCAGCGCTCGGTTGAAATTCAAAGGGGTTTTCATTTTCTTCGTCAGAAAGAAAGAAGATGGCGCAGGTGTTGCGCTTCTTTCTCGGTTGAGCGGGATCCGCTAAATAAAATTGATTGTGTATGTAATGAGTACAGTTATGAAAACATCTGATCAGCAGAAATATTTGTTTGAATTATTTAAGTGAGATCAGTTAACTGAAAGAAACGTAGAACTATGGAAAAAATTATGCAAAACGTCTAGCAGGTTTTTAGTAGAAACGATTACAAAATGAATAGCGTGCGTCTTTTTTTATGTTTTAAGACTTACGTTTTTTGTTGGCCGGATTTTGCCCCTTCACTTCCGTCGACCTAGACGAGTTCTTTTCTACTGACTCTGCGCACTAGAAATCAAAATGTCACAATTCAAACAATTTTCCACAATTATTTCTCGTATTTGTACATGCCTGTAATAAAAATGCGACTGCCTAAAATTCCTGTAATTTGTGCTCGTAGGTTAGTGCAACGTTGCCCTTACGGTTAGTAGGCAAAGCCCGTTCTACTGTACATTCCGAGCACTGGCGCCTGCGGAATTCCCAACACTGAGGAGATTTGGTGGTGGCCAAGCGCAGTATGGACAGCATAACAATCTGAAAAACGCACCTGTTCGCGAAAAGTGCGCCCTGATGAAATTTGGCCTCTATAAGCAAGTAAAGGTCATGGGGATTAATCGCCGTCTGCAATGTGCAAGCGGCGCCATCGGTCTCTCTCCAGCCGCCTTCGAATAGCTGGCTTTCAAAGACCGGGATTAGATTCGTGTCACCTGGATCAACATCAGTACTGAATCGGCTGTAACTGGCCAGCCACATTCTTCCGATGGGTATTTAATCGTTATGGTTGTTCAGAAATCCGTAAGATACTATTATAATACATCATCTAGAAAACCAAAAACAGTTCATCAAGGGAGCGACTATACTCAACTGTACCAAGAACACAGGCAGCATTGCCCCGCTGAATTTCTAAACTGCAACGCTGCAATAAAAACTGTTTCGCACGGATTTCTCCAGTCTGCTCCCGGATACGTTTGGCCAGGTCCGAAATAAAACCTTGAGTACTCGGGCCACAACCACCAAAAGTTTCGAAAGCCAAAGGCTGGACAATGTACCGATCTCTCAACTTCTCATACTTTCCCAGTTTTCGAATCTCAGCGGCTTCCGCAGCTGCGCCAGGGTGATCAGAAGTTTGACCGATATAGGTTGCCGCAAGCGTGTTAGCTACAGTGACATCCCACACTAAAGATTTTCCATATTGCCAAGGATACAAAGTCATGCCATCCGGCCGCTTTCCAGTTTCCCTATCAAAACCAGGAGGTTCCAAGATGGCGGATATTTTTGCTGATCCGAAAGCCCGCTGAATTATATTGTTAAGCGCGCTGTGGCGCCGCAGCCGTCCTGCACTTTTCTTACAGGAAAGACCATGATGACCGTATCTATCCACCATTTCACCACAGCGGCATTTGTGCTCATTACAAATAAAAGCACCCAAACGCAAAGCCACAGCCACTCGTAAACTCATGTCATCCAGGAGACTTCCCAAGCTGGACACAGGCAGCGCCGACAACCATGCAGATGACTCTTTCGTAGACAAGGCCAACAAGCGAGCTTTAGCAATAACGTCGGCATTTTCCACTAAGAGACGGTGCATCTTGTCGTACATCAAACCGGTCTAAGCTGGCTGCAAACGACGGCTCTGCAGAGGCGGTGGGTCTTCTCCAATTTTTTCTTGATAAACCTTGACCGCATCCTCTCGAGAGTTTTGATCTGCGTCAGGTATAATCTCATTGACCAGAGAATCTTAGCGTAACACGAAGACAGATATGCAGGCAAAGCTATATCTTCTGCCGTGCAAAGGCCGATTACCCCATAGCGATCAGGCAAAATCGTTTGCCGCCACACAGGTTCGGACATTTCCACATTTGTTATTTCTTCTGCTCTTTTTCTGACAGTATCATCGAACTGGCGTAGTTTTTCTGGACACTTCCAACACGGGGCGCACCTAAGAGTAAACAACAATCTCGTCAGCGAAAGACTGTTTTTCAAAAGGAACAATGACTGATGCGCTGGCAACACACCAAGCAGATCAGTCAGACGCCGTATCTGACCGATCTTTCCATCTAACACTCGCCCTATTGCCAAATCCGTCAGTGGGGCACCAAGCAGGTCCAACTGCTCCGTTGAGACGAGCTGTATCTCCGGTGCAACAGAATGGAAACTCTCCACAACATCCAAACGTTCACTTTCTGTGCCACCAAAAACGTACAGTTCACATTTGGCCAAGTTCAGCTGCAAGCCCAATGCGGATGACTTTTCTAATACAGTTACGAAATCACCCAATACGGTATCCGGATCCCCGCCGCATGTACCATCGTCCAGAAACCAGATATTCAAGGCTGCTTGTAATTCTTTGGACAAAGTATCAGAATAGCAGAGGTCCAAGGGGATCCCCTTGCTGGATACCGTGGGCAGAGGCTATGATCTGGTCTCCACAGAACAAAGATGACGGCGTGCTGTATGCCGCAGAGATAAAGGCAAAATATTCAGGAATTACTTCGGCGACTTTTTTCAGCAACACATCTCTGCGGACAGTATTAAACGCATTAGCAAAATCAGGTTTCAACAAAACCTGAACTTTTGTGGAGTCGCTCTGAACAAATTTTCGAGCAGCATGCACGGCCGCCTCGGCTCCTCCACGTGTACCATAACCAAGCTGCACGGGGCGAGATAGTTCTCCCATTTCATCATGAACACGACGACTAATGACTTTTCCAAAAAGCCGCCGCAAGGTGCAGCCGCATGCTACTGGACGAATTCCTCCACTCTTCTTCAAAAGTGGCGTCAACATCCCACCGAAAAACACCCTTTTAGCCGCCGGAGGTATGACACCAGTCAGAGCCAGATTGGCCAACTTGGACAAGGCCGTCAGCAGAGACTCTCCGGTTTCTCCCGGGACACTAACCATCTCCTTCAAATGCTGCGGCCGAAGACCATCTGGACCAGCTGAAGAGCCTGCAGGAAAAGATCTAACAGCGACAAAAATCTCGTTCGGAGAGACATTGTGAGTTACAGAATTGACGTCGCAGACCGTTGTATCCACATCCGCTGGTGGATCTGGATGTTTATGACGTAGCGCTTTAATAACGTCATCCGTCAGCGAAGCAACTGATTCTTCAGACGTCATCACTTTAACCGCACCACTGATGTCGCCATCCTGCAGTTTGGCGTTGACTAATTTGCGTAACTTTTCATCAGAGGACTTCTTCTTGCTAGCCCTGATCCTAGTAGTATTGAGCGGAGGGGAGTCTGAAGGTGTGCCGCGCAAGTTTGCCTTCACAGAAGCGGCTAAGGAAGGTCCTCGCCCAGCCTTAGCAGGAGGTGCGTGCAGATTCTCGAGCGGAAACAACAACAATTTGGCCCAAGACTCCTCGTCATTCTTGTTACACACATCATTGACTGAAGATTCTTCCTGTTTTTCTGTCATCGGGGTGTTTTTGTTTGTTACTGTTCCGGTGCGTAGTCTGCGCCTTTTGACCGTTTTTGTGTGAGCGTAATTTGACTGTTGAATTATGAATCATTATGATTTCATCGTGTTCTCCTAGTCTTATGTCATAACTGATTCGAGGATTGTTACAATGCATTGTAGATAATAAATTCCGCTTGAAAATCTCCGTGTTTTCCCACGGTTTTGTGAAGTACACGCAGTGGACTAAAATATCGAATCCCAAAAAAACCTAGTCCACATAAATGGTGTCAGTATGGAGACGAGTTTATATGTACCAAATCAAGTTTAAACCGCAGAACGTACTGCAGCGGCTCTAAACCCAACGCGTTTCGGTTTATTAGCGAGAAATCAATTCAGTATTTCATCGCGCCGTTGTACGGTAAATGAGCCCGCATTCAATATTTATTTGTCTTTTAATACTGCCAATAATGCATTCCTGGTGAATGCAGTTCGCAGGAGAACGTATAAATTCATATTAATTTAAAGGAAGCGTTCAAGATTCAAGCTATTCAAAGGAAGCGTTCAAGATTTGTTGACGAAATCCATATTAATTTAAGCTATTTCGAAGAAAGCGTTCAAGATTTGTTGACACGACATACAACTACCAGCGCCAAATTACAGAAAGGCGATAACATTGTTATTCAAGCGGATTTCAATCGAATGCGAATTCAGCTTAACAACCAGCTGTATGACACAATAAAGCAAATAAGGTAGAAGCAGCGGATATTGCAAAATAAAAACAAGAAAAAAATTCTTTAGAACACGACTGAGTACTCATACAAATTGTAATTAGGAAGCAAGTGAAAGACAGTCTCCAGCCAAATACAACCGGTTCAGCACTTAACGTAGTTCCAGGTGACCAGATGTGACCCAAATCCTTGGAAGCCAGTTCTTCGAAGGCGGCCGGGGAGAGATCGATGGCGCCGCTGGCACATCCCTCGCAGCGATCGACCACCTTGACCTTGACTTGCTTTCCGGAGTCCACGTCTTTGACCAAGGCGCACTTGCCGCAGACGGGTGCCTTGTTGGGATTCTTGTGCTATCCGTACTGCACCTTGCTGACCGCCACCACCATTTCGCTCTCAGTATTGACCTTTCCGCATGCTCCCATCGCCGGAGTATAGAACGTCGCTTTGCCCTTGAAGTTCTGGGCACCAGAGCTCGGATGCAACCGAAATGGCTTCTTATCTGTGATATCAGGAATAAGAATCTGGGCGCTCATGTTGCGCTTTTTTCTCGGTTGAGCCGGATCTAAACAAAATCGGTTTGTATGTAAGGCGTACAATTAGCTTGTACCCGTCTAATCACCATAATATTCGTTCAAATTGTTTAAATTAACCTAACCAATGAAAAAATGATTGTGAAGTGTAGGAAAATAGCACAAAACATTAAGCAGATTTTTAGTGGAAGCGTCAACAAGATTCTGTAGGAAGAGTGGCGATTCTTCATTCTAATCGATTGCATTTAATAGTCCGTTCCCGTTATAACATTTTTGTGGCTAACAGACAACACAGGTGCAAAATCAGTTCTTGTTAATGCGTATTGCTATATTAGCAACAATGTCACCACGGTGACGTTTGAATATGATTTGGCTACTCTTACCGGTTTCAGGCGGAGTTTTCACGTTTTCTTCCATCAGTATAGATGATGACCCCTTCTCTACCAGCATGGCACCCTGGAAAGCAAGGCGACACAATTAAAGGAGTTTCCAAAATTAGTAAGTGTATCTTTACCGCGACTGCATTTAGAATGTGTACTTTGTACTTACGGAAAAAGCCAGAAGGGCAGCCACAAGCAGCAATAGTACGAAAACGTTCATGATGGCGGATTTGAAAAGGTCAAGAGAGAAATAAATATTTATTAAAGGGTAGTCTTAAAAATGTTGTTCATTTGAAGCATCCAAAGGCTTTTATAGGAATTTCTGCACCGCTGCTCTTTATTTCTAAGGAAAGATGTTTAAATTGTGGGGGCTATTAGGCTTACTTTTAAAAAAATTCACAGAAATTTTTTAGTGATTTTGTGGGAATCGAAGTTTTTCCGTTGAATGGTTGAGACAACTGTAAGTGCTTCCCGGGTATCGGATGGGCCATCGCCGGCGCTTCGCGTATCCACTTAAAAACTGCGTCGGCAGCTACAGGGAATTCAGCATTAGACACGCGCGCGCGTTTAACATAGTCGGAAAATATGCGCAGAAGTAATGTGCATGTGCCTATGCAGACAGTGGCGACAAACTGCAACGTCAAGCACAACGGAAACCGGTGTATGCGTGAGGCAGCTAGCAACAGCAGAATCCATTCGCACTTCTGGGAAGATTGGAATCAAGTGTTTCTACAACGTAAAATCGGCGTTGTCATGACCATTTAACACAAATTGCGAAGTCCGCTTCGCGATTGCATGGCAAAGGCGGTTTGCTGGAATTAAGTTAATTTGAATCGTTCTAGGAATTTGAATGCCGTATTTGCAACACACTGGGTTTTAAAATATACTGTTTAATTCTAGATCCTTTCGTTTGCAGAAGTAAGAAAATGTTCTGCACAAATAAAAATTGATTGTGTACTTCTTCAAACCTTTCCCGCTTTTCCGATAAAATGACCGCTCGGTCTCTTTTTAGAAAGTATTACTGTGCTGATAGGTTCATGCAACGTTGTCTTCAGTATACAAAGCAAAGCAACGTTCTACATTCCGAGGATTGGCGTCCGTGCCGGAAGCTTCCTGCATGATAGCGGAATTCTGACAGATGATATGAGAAGAAACCGGCGAAAAATGAGCCACGGAATATGTATCTTCGCCAGCGGATCAGCATTTTGAAATCCAACGAGGAAAGGCGACATCATGAGGACAGCGCCGGTGGAAGCAAATTTAGATCAAATTTTATCTGTGATTAGGCCGCCTCTGTAATAAGTGACTGTTTTGTAAGTTATCGTAAAAGTTTTGGTGAAAGAAGTATTAAGCTTACCACCAGACTGAAATATCGAATCCCTACGTACAAAACCTAGTCCGTACAAATGGGTTTTCGTAAGGAGACAAGTTGATCTGTGCATCAAGTTTCAAACCACAGATATGTGCTGCATCTGCTATAAACCTAACGAATTTCGGTATATTTTCAAGAAATCAGCATTTTATCGCGCCATTTTACGGTATATGAGCCCACACTCAAAAGTTATTTGGTTATTAATATTGCCAATTAAATGCATTAATAGTGAATGCAGTATAGGTGTAGGTGTAGATAGTACAGATACAGTATTTGTTTGCAGGTGTAATAGTTTGCAGGTGTAGGTAGTACAGTATTTGTTTGCAGGTGTATTATATGGGCGCAAGCATGCATCGCGCTGGTTATGCACAGATATGTAGTTTTGTATCGTGAGGCTCGTAATTACGCTAGTTTTCCATGTTTACATGCATCGTTTTTTAAGAGTTTTTTTTGAATGACCAACCAGAATTAACTGTTATGAACCAAAACTGTCAGTCAGGTGCATAATTATAAGAGTTTATTTCCAAAGTATTTCGTGAAACATGAAATCAGTAGCAATGAATTAATTAAAATGATGAATGTTACTTATGCCGAGAAAATTAAAGCAGTTAAAACAACTGAAAACTTCGAGCGGTAATTCTCTTTTACTATCCAGATTCCAGTAAAGCGTACCGTAATTACGGCACAGGTACATACTTATAAGTATATTTATGTTATACTTACAAATATTTCGCAGTTTAATCTTCTTGTCATCACTTAAACACGTGTTAAAGAAACAGTTACAAAAACAACAGCTCGTTAAACATTTCCGCTTACAAGTACTTATACTTATAAGTTACAACCACAGTCTCTCTGGGCTCCCAGGCAGTATGGCCAAACCCCCTTGTGCGCGGTTATATTTTGACTTGTGGTTTTTCAGTTTTAAGCCGTTATTCCTTGTTGAAAATTTAAGTTTTAAATTAAATATCCGCTTAAATGCGTCACAAATTCCAAGAAAAAACAGTTTGTTTTCTAGACCGTTTTAAAACTTCTGTTGCTAATATTCGTTAATTCGGTATAAGTAGAAACAAAAAATGGTTCTGCCTGAGTTCCAGTTCAACCAATTTTACGGGTGTTCAACAACTGTTTTATTTCTCGCAATAAACCGGTTGCAGATTCGAAATCACCGAATTTTTCTGATTCAGAATCCAAACCGACTGATAGCCGTATCCTAAAAGTCCCTTCTAGCCGGGAGCCCCGATGTTAAACTGTATTGTACAGGGAGCACATAGGGCGGATTTTTCGTAGTAAGAAGCTTAAACGAAGGCAGCATAATGACATCACACTGATTCGAAACCCAACAATCAAATCACAATCACAGTTAAGAAAAGTAAACTGACGGAGGCTGCGCACCAGAACAGTACAAACAGGGAACCTCCGACAGCCGGAAATGGGCAAGACGTGGCGGGCAGTTGGCAGCTGAATCAGCACTTGACGTAGTGCCAGCTGATATGAATATAATCCAGATCCCTGGCAGCCAGCTTCTCGAAGGCGGCCGGAGACAGATCGATGGCGCCGCTAGCACATTGCAGACAGCGATCCACCACCCTGACTTTTACTTGTTTATAGGGGCCAAATTTCACCAGGGCACACTTCCCGCAAACGGGTGCGTTGTTGGGATTGCCGTGCTGTCCATACTGCGCTGGACTGATGGCCATCACCAGTTCCTCTTCAGTGTTGACCATTCCGCAGGCGCCAGTGCTCGGAATGTAAAACGTCGCTTTGCCCTGGATGCAAAAGGTAACGCTGCATGAACATACGAGCACAAGAATACCAAAAAGCGTTCGAGCGGACATTTCACTAAAGAAGCAGACTGAAAACTGAGAAAGCACAGTATTACTGTAATCGAACCCTTGATTTATGCGGAATATTGTATTACTTTTGTAAAAGGAAGGCTTCAGCATTAAATAGTATTTACGACCCACTACCTTGTAGACATGGCATGGCGTTTAAATTCTTCGTACCATGATACGATCCAAACTAACTTTCCAACAAATCGCTTTAACAAGTCAACCGTGAAGCGAAATTCGCTATTTCTATTTAATGGCTATGAAAGCGCAGATTTTCCCTTCTAAAAACACTTGATGTTAATCTTCGCAGAAGTGCGAAATGGCTGCCGTTTCTGCTGGCTGCCTAATGGAGACACCGGTTTCCGTTATGCTTGACGTTGCAGTTTGTCGCCACCGTCTGGAGTGGAATTCTCATTGTGCTTATGGATATTTTATGCACATTATGCATATGTTGTTAATCACGAGCGTGCGGTTAACACTGAGTTCCCTGTAGCTGCCGACGCAGTTTTCAAGTTGATACGCGGAGCGCTGGAGAAAGACCGTCGGATTCCTGGGAACCACTTTTAGTTGCCTCAGATGTTTAAGGAAACGCTTTAATTCTTGTAAAATTAGCGAGCGATTTCTCTGGATATTTCAATTCGTATGCATATTAGCCGCCACAATTTGAACTACTAAAGATCGGCGGTGCAAAAATTACTATAAAAGCCTTTAGAAGCTTCAAATGAGAAACACATTTTCGACACTATCATTTCCAAAAACTTAATTTTTGTCTCACGGTTTTCTCGATTACAAATCGGACATCATGAACGCTCTCGTACCATTGCTGTTTGTGGCTGCTCTTCTGGCTTTTTCGGTAGGTTCCAAACAATCTACAAGCAGACGCATTACCCGTTACAGGAGCATAAGGACACAAGAAATAATTGAAAAAGTGTTTGCATTTAAACGCCTTTCTCTCTAGTACGCCACGCCGGAAAAAGAGGACTCACCACCTCCGTCGCCGGAAGTGAATGGCAAAATTCCGTTTGGTCGCAATACTATGCCGGAGACCGGTAAGAGTCTGTATACCATAAAATCAATTTTTTACTGTTTACATTTTTTTATACAATTTACAACTATTTTTCTCCATTAACTGAGTTCGTTTAAATAATTCAGAAGAATTTTTCTGGTGATCAGATGGATTCATGCTTGTACTCCTTACATACACAAACAATTTCGTTTAGCAGTGGAAATGAATCCCGCTCCACCGAGAAAAAAGCGCAACATGAGCGCCATCTCCCTTATTCCTTTTGTCCAAAATGAGAAACCCTTTCGCTTTCCCCCGAGCCACCATGGCAATGCGACCTTTTACACCCCGGCAATGGGAGCATGCGGAAAGGTCAACACTGCAAAGGAAATGGTGATGGCGGTCAGCAAGGAGCAGTACGGACAGGACCCAAAAAACGCGCTCGTCTGCGGTATTTGTGCCCTGGTGAAAGCGGATGGCTCCGGTAAGCAGGTCAAGGTCCGAGTGGTCGATCGTTGTGTGAAATGTGCCGGCGCCTCCATCGATCTGTCTCCAGCCGCTTTCCAGAAACTGGCTTCCAAGAATGTGGGCCATATCCAGGTCACGTGGGAATATGCTTTTTGCTGAATCGACTGCATTTGACTAGCCACCGTCTTTCAGATGCTATCTAGTTTTTGCTGTCCTTTTGTAATTAATTCCTTTTTTAATTCTTCTCTGCGATATCCACTACTTGTTCCTGATTGGATTCAGTTTGTCATACAATTTTGGTTCCTGAGCCTATAGTGCAATTGATTTAATCCCACGTGAACAATAATGTTATCGGCTCTATAATTTGTCTGGTAGCTGCATGTTGTCTCAACAAAATCTTGAGCGTTTCATTGAAATGTATTAACAATAAATATTAAGAACTTAATTTGCGTATAAACGTATGTTGTTCATTCTGTGACCAGGCTTGAAAGCAATGGTGAATTATATGAACTTTGGTACCAAGTGGTACCATTCAGCAGCGCAGCGAGTAATCAAATAATTTAATTTCGTTGCACCAATATGCCGATTCGGGGTTACTGAAAGCATTGGTCAACTGTTCACCTGCAATTTTTCAACTTCCGCCAGGCTATTTTATCCGCCTCGATCTTAAAAAGACAATAAAGTCTTTAGCCATTTTACAAGTCGCAGTATTTTGTTCGTATCAACCGTTCTCATAGTAATACATATTAATGATTGCCCTAAATGCCAAAATGCATTATACGTATTGTAAATGCTTCGTGCATGTAGAAATAGTAGAGGACGACGTATATGGACGACTTCGTAAATGTTAAATCTTTTGAGATACTTGTTCCTTGTATCCGCAGTATCCCGCCGTATTCCACGGTATCCTCTACGTATATCCATCAGCTCTTTTTACATGATCCACATGCACCTTGCTAAAGAAACTAAGAAAAACATAAGAAAGCATAACAAAATTGACGGGATAGATGAATACTACACGAAAGGTACTGTGAGAGTGCTGTGGGATACGCTTCTTAAAAGGAATGGGATAACAATAATATTCGCTATACGTGCAGAGTGCTAAATATCCCACGGCATCCTCTTTGTATCCTTCATGTTGCTGCTGAGTACAGCTTTGGGGACGATCAGGAACTGCAGTATCCAAGCGTTTCTTAACGTGGCCTTATTGTATCCGTCGATTATCTTATATTTTTATCTTTCAGTTATCTGGATAATTTTTTTAGGTTGCCGGTTGGATACTTTGAGGCAGGAGAACCGTCTCAACAATAAATCTGTCATTGTTGTTATCGTTGCCGAAGTGAGCGTGCAAGCAATTCTAGTTTAAGCACGGAAGGTTTCGTTTAAAATGTTGTACACAGCACCAGAAAATCGCAACGACTTCCGGCTGCAAACGGAAACGCCAACTACCCCTTACGATTCCGAGGGGAAACTAGTACCATTGATGATTATGTTATGGCATAGCCGATACAGTATACAGTGATGCGCATACCTAATTGCAGTAATGTATTTCCTGTTCCCGGTTCAGGTTGTAAATTGTAATGAACAGATTGATTCAGTACATCTGTTTTTTTTGGCAAGTAATTTGCAGAAAAAAGTTTCATAAAAAGTCTCCGTATGCGAACGGGGAAGCAAAGAGTATTTTAGTTAAAATTAAGCTGTAAAGGTGCCGTCTCTGTATTCAGCCACAGCTGCCTTTGACAAAGTCCCCCAGATACAGTTTACAAACATTTAAAAACCATCTCTGGGTGAATTGTGTTTCTTATGAATAATTTACAGTTTCATTGGCTGCATTATTTAAAATTCAGCGTCTCCACTCTCCGTACAGTACATCGAACGGCGCTGCTCTGACTTTTAGCACGTATCGGTAACATTGCGTCCACTGGCATCTATAAAATACGCCTCGCACTTCATGTTACAGAAATTATTACAGCACACCGCATAAGGATTTCCGGGACACGTGGCACATGAACACGGATCCGGTTTACACAGAGTTTCGTCGGAACCTGACGGACAGGTTGCGTTAACGGGTATGGCCGGGCAGCCCGGATTCGTTCTGATTGGCCGGATACTGGGTGTGCCAGAGCAGCTTCCCGTCAGATACGTGAAACCAACGAATCCTGAAACTAAATCCTCCCCGTAGCCAAAAAAAACGGTTTTACAGCCATGGCAGTTATATGTGTTGCAACTGGCTTCCGGGAAATTTGCACAGGTCAGATTGCCGGTAGGGTAACAACGATTCTCGCAGGGCGGCTGGTTGGGGGGCTGGAGTAATGGGCAGCCACGGAGGCCTCCTTGGGTTACTGCAGCAAAGTGGTGGTCAGTATGCGGAAAAATTAAAAATTACTTGTGTGAAATATAAGTCGGTACGCTTATGTTTATGATTTAGCATCTCCATGCTTATAATCCATTATGTTACCAACTACTCTAGGGTGTTGATATAACTAAGCTAAGATTACTCCTGGTGCCCGTATACATAACTAGGATTACATCTGGTTCTCGGACGTATTACAAAATCCGCTCAACAACTTCAACCTGCCTTTCTCACTAACTATAAGATCACACAGATGTGTTCTTCGCCTAATATTATACAGCAAGCACCGAAGATCATAGAGCTACAGAATAGCCAAGACCGCAGTTTTGCAGGCTTAACGTTAACATACGGGCACCACGTCAGCGATCCTTTACTGAAAAGGAACGTCAGCAGAATCCGGACTGCCGGCGATGTTGTTATATTATTTGCCTACTATACCTTCGCAAACGGGCGAAGTTTTGGTGATACCGGCCAAAACATGCGTGTTTTCCAAAAAATTCCATACTGATAAATACGTTGCTGCAATAACCAGTGGACAAAGAGCATATCTACGCCGTAGAGACATGATGCTTTCAATCTACAGAGTAGTTGAGAAAGCCCGTTTTAGCAGGCAGTGTTGTTACTGTAATGTTCGAAATTATAGCCGCTATAGCCGAAACGATCTAGCACTTCACGTAGTTCCAGGTGACCTCGATGTGGCCGAGGTCCTTGTCCGCCAGTTTCTCGAAGGCGGCCGGGGACAGGTCAATGGAGCCACTGTCGCATCCCTCGCAGCGGTCGACCACCTTGACCTTGACCTGCTCGCCGGAGTCCACAGCCTTGACCAGGGCGCATTTGCCGCAGACGGGTGCCTTGTTGGGGTTGCTGTGCTCTCCGTACTGCACATGGCTGATGGCCATCACCATTTCGGTCTTCGTGTTGACCTTTCCGCAGGCTCCCATCGCCGGATAGTAGAAGGTCGCTTTTCCCTCAAAACCGAGGGCAACGGTGCACAAACCTACGAAGAGAACAACACCAAAAAGGAAACGAGCGGCCATTTTACAACGTTTGTTAGAAGATGAAGAAAACGACTGAGAAAATACAGAATCGGTAGAGATGCTAAGTTAGTACAGACAGGTTTGCTACTGTTTTAAACGGAAAGCGTAGATCTTTAAATAGTTCGCAGGAGCTAACGCGTTGCAAACACGGCATTAAAATTCATCGAACCACTCAAAATATGTTCCGGTGAATCGCCTTATCCAGCGATTTAGTGAGAAGAATTCTTCTTTTTGTTGAATAGGCATATTAGCGTTAGGCGATTCCGTTGTCTGAAATTGTTCGATGGTTTAGTTTCGGAGAAAGGCACAGTGGAAATGGATTCCGTTAATAACAGCTGAATCACAGAGACGTCTATTATGCTTAACGTTGCAGCTTGCCGCCACCGTCTGGAGTGGATTCACGGTACCCAGACGCGTTTTTGCCGGTAAAACCCTCGACTGGAGTGCTTTTCTGGGGCTCATAAATTGTGCATGCATTGTAGAAATTTTGTTTGCTCAGGCACCTGGAAAACTTTTTACCAGCGGATACATATGTTAAATTGCATACCGTCTTTCGCCAAGCATCAAAATTTGACTTTATTACATTTGTCATAGAAGTATACGTGTATTATACGTTAGCTGCGGCGAGTTTTATTATGCTGCCAGTATAATAGTTATTTCCCAACACTTTTATTTTTTAAAAATTATAGAAGTGCAAACAAGGCATGCGGTAACTTATTTGTACGATGATGCGCGCATTCGGACCGACTGCTAAATTTATTCAGCAGGACCAGCCGACGACCATCCACGGAGTGCAACCAACTACCAAACACCCCCGGATTCCATCCGTTGGTGGTTGGCCGTTGGTAGTACTCAAATTATTATTGTTAAGGAGAGCTTTTTTGATGCCTTAAGACGCTCGGCACATCGCGGAAGTTTGGATCGACAACGCTATTAACTTGCCATTAACGCGGTATGCGTAATTTGCCTGTACTTAGTAGTTTGTACGTCCGTCGTAGTTCACGTACGATTTATCTGTTCTTATCTAAAAATTCTGATCGCTAATTTCATCAGCGATTCTGCTTGTGTCGATGAGTTTATTGTGAGTCTGAGTTTAGTCTTGACTGCCAGATCTGTGCGCAGTGTGTGCAGATTTGATAGTGTGGCTGGAGAGTCTGTATGCACTGTGTGCAGTCTTCAGATTATGAATAAATCATTAAAGGTTATGAGATCCTGAGTGACCTTCTTGTGGCGAAAGCATTAGTGTGTACCTGCAGGAAGTCACATTAGAATCTGGATAGCATCATCCAGATATTTGGCTGTGAGTTAGAAGCAAATCATCGTTCAGAAGATAGTCCCACTCTACCGACTGTGTGTGGTTGGTCATTTAGTACGGTAGTCGTAGTGCGACTGCCGTATAGCATGTCACCACTGTATACTTTTTTATTTAGAAATTGTGAGCGGAATGTAAAGCCTACATCGTTGTATCCTAAAAAATTGCTTATGTCCGAAAGTGCGTGTTGCGTGTAAATTATCCGATTAATTTAAAATTTCGAGCGTCGGATAAGGACCGAATAATCATAAGAAAATGGAAAAAAATCGAATAAAAATTTCAAAAAGCGTCGGATGGGGTTAGGTACAGAAATCTCATCCGGTGCCCATCTGTAATGAATGGCTGTCAAGTGTATCACACACATACTGTAAATGCCTACCAGCCGTCCGCGGGTTGGCTGTATTTGTGGAAACAGCTTCAAACAACATCTGCTTGTACGCCTGCAAGTCTGCGGTTAGAATAGGCGCTTCTCCGTATCATAAAATCATTATAGTTTCGTTTTCGTGCTTGATAGCAATGTGGTTATTCTAGAGCATAAAGCCAGAAAAAAAATAAAAAATAAAAAATAAAATTATTTTCGTGAGTTGTTGGTCCAAGTATCTGTAGTAGCAAATCTAAACACGAACCGTTGCATATTTAATAAAGTCGACAAAACCGTGTCCGTCGTAAATTCCGCCAGCCCAGTTTTTTTTCGCTGTTCTTGTTGGATGAAATCATGAATGTGGACTTCCACCCAACAGGTTTTCTTGGAGTTTCACATCCGAAAGGTTTACTGTAATGTGCCAATGCAGCCGGCAGTTTTGCCGGTTATACGAGTACACGTGTTTAAACTTGGCAATGAATTCCCGTTAGCCGTCGAAGCAGTTTTCAAGTGGATACACGAGGTGCTGGAGCGGACCCACCATATACCAGTAATCAGTATGCTGGAATCACTTGTTTATTTCGAATAAATATTCAACTGAAAGGCAGTGATTTTTAATGGATGAGCCAATTCTGCGAATGTCTTAATAATTGATCACAGTAACTGCTATTCTGTAAAGGAGATGTACCCATACTTTCCGACTTCAGTAACTGTTACAATGCATAGTACAAAAATATTACCAAAGCTCCATTTTCAGCTTACCTTCATCGGATAAAACTAATTTTTTACAAAGTTCACAAACAAAGTTTTGTTTGTACCTCATAATTTTGAATCTTCATATAAATTCATAATAATACTGTATTTTTGAATTTTCATAATTTTGAATCTTCATACAGCCCTGCCAAGCCAAGTTGGGGCAGTTAAAAAAATTCCTCGACTTCTAGCAGTGAAGTGGAAAAGTTTTATCAAATCTTTCCATGATAGTTCTTGGTCTATAGCACCTTCAGTGATTTTGTTTCCATGCAAAAAACTGAGGGTCAGGGAACGGGATCCAAATTTAAAATTTGATTTTTGGTAAAAAAATGGCACTGCTTACTAAGAAATAATCAAGTTTATTCGACAACTATTTAAAAATTGGAAGAAGCTGAGAAGGTTCAGTGGATAGCGTAGTTGCCTAACGGAGCCTTCATAGTATTTGTCTAAGCATCGACATCTTGTCTAAAGGGATCAGTGCTCTAGGCAATCGCATTTTCCTGAAGGTGCTTTTTAACATACCAGTCTATGGGAGATGAAACTTGTTTCGAGGTCACCTCGAGCAGTGATGGCATATCGTCCCTATGTTGATCCCTCACGGACACCTTCTGGGTCGCTCAACAGGTTTCAAACATGTCCACATAAAAGTATGAGTTGGCGTATTTTCCAGAGGAGCAGTTATAAGCCTCCGAAAAATGACCACTCCCCCTTACCATAAATCCCAGTCTTGCCCTTTACTGTCACGGCAAACGATTACAACTTTGACACTGTTGAATCGGCAAAGAAAAAGTTTAGCTAGAAAAATGCGTAAATGAAAACAGAACTGCGTACGGCAAATTTTTAAATTTAATTTTACACAACTGCCCCAACTTGGCTTGGCACCCCTGTATAAATTCATAATAATACTGTATTCAGACCTTCATAATTTTCACCACGTTTTCATACAAATCATTTTTAAATATTGTACAGTGAAACTTCTCTACAACATACACCCTCCGTTCCAGGCTTTCTGAATGTTACAGAGGGGTGTATGTTATACAGAAGCACTGCTCCCTGCGGCACTGCCCTCAGGGGCTCAGGGGCACAACCCCCGGGAGTGTTACTTAACCAAAAAATAAACACAATATCAGAGTATGGACATTATTCGGTCTGAATGTTAGTTTTGCTGCCCTTTTGTATGCTTGGAGCTGGAAGATCCGGTACTAATCAGATTAAAAACAGAAGCTGGAACCTTCTTTTAGAGACACCGAAATGGTTTTCTTCACCAGCCTAGTCAACCGTATGTTACGCAGGGGTTGAATAAGCTGGGAAAACTGTTACCGGTTCCATAAAAGGTGTATGTTATAGCTGTAAAGGGGTGAATGTTATAAAGAGAACTGCCCCTGTGTTATAGTCTACCGGGCGGTAGACCATAACTATAAATGTTATAGGAAGGTGAATGTTAAGAGGAGTTTCACTGTATCTTTTCCGACAGATTTATGCAAACGATTTCATTTCACGTTGTTCTAAAATCGAAAACAGCCACGCCGGAAACGAATTGCAATACCAACCATACATGAGGTTCTCATCTCGCGTCGTATTAAAACAATAAACCTAAGGACCGTCGGTAAATTATTACGAAATGCATAACTTTTAATCACAGAAATGAAATGACACAAATGAACTATGAGAAGCTTTATGTGAATTAACAGGTGCAAGCACCAAATTGCAACAAAGGTCGCTGAAATCTGGGCAAGCGTACAGATGCTGTGTCAGTATATTTAATTGATAACCTCATATAATTTACGGGTAGTAATTACGCATTCCACACGAGTGAATATTATTATAATCCAAACTGAATTTTTATTGTTATAGAATGTTGTGTTATTTTTGTTGTTATGTTATTTTTATTGTTATATTGAATTTTGTTATAGAACCGGGAAGAATTCAGTAGTCGCCGTTTATACGATAACAGATCACGTTTAATAAAAGAAAAACAAAATATTAGGTCACAGTTATGCGCAGAAGTTTTTATTACAGTTTTATAAACAACAGCACACAAAAGTAAATAGAAGAAGCAAAAGAAGGTAAATATTACGACGCCAACCTTTTTATTCATGTACATAGTACATTGATTTATCTCAATAATGGATCGTTTTAACCGTACATTCTGAACAACAGATCAACCATGCAATCCATATCCTAGTAGTGGTGGTGCAAAAATTTTATCCTGAACTGTTTTACATAATTACCGCTTTCATCTGCCGGCAAGACATAAATTTTCTAATCACAAGCGATAATTAGATTGATTTTAATGATTAATGTTGGGGTATGCGCAAAAGTTACATTTCAAACATACTAGTAAGTATTTAGAGTAAGTATTTAACGTAAGTTAATTATGGTTCTGAACTTCTCATTATCACATATCTATATTATGTATACCGTACAACTCCGCCACTTGTGGACATTTTTCCGGCTAATGTGAGGCTGCTAGAGCATGCTCAACACACGTTCATTTTCCATACGGCGGATATGGAAACTTAACCCGATACAAA